CCTGGACCCCTGACACTGTTGAGCTGCCCCACCTAGGGAAAGGGAGGGAAGTGGTGTTATCCAAGGAGGCTGACCCGAGACCAGGCCAACAGGGAACAAATCAACATTACCTGTGTCCCTCATATGCAAAGGACCATAACCTCATAGCTTTTCAGTTTTAGAGGCCATCTAATTAAACTCTCTCATTCTGCATAAGGGGAAAATATGCCCAAAGGCCTAGAGGGGGTAAGGAGCAGAGGCAGAATTCTAACCCAAATTCTCTGACTCTAAATGGAGCACTTTACCCATTGTGCCATGCAGGTTCTATAAAGTGCTGGATAAACCTGATTGTCAGAAGAATTGCAAACTATTCATACCAAAATACTCATAACAGCATCTTTTTTTTTTTTTTTCGTAGTAGCAAAGAATTGGAAACAGAGTTAAGTACCCATTGACTGGGGAATTGTGGTACATGAATGTAATAGACTAGTACTGCTCAAGAAATGACAATATGAAGAATTCAGAGAAGTGTGGGAAGACTTATATAAATTGATGCAGAATCAGGAAAATAACATACCATGTGACAGGACCACAGCAATGTAATTAAGATGCGGAGATTCTTATAATCTAGCCACTGCCTTACTAATGTTCAGACTCCTTAAGAGTCTGCCCAATATGATGGACGTTCTAATAAACCTTGTCTTTGGCTGAAAGAAGGCTTGGGTCCAATTTTTTCAGGCAGCACCTGTGTGTTGTGATACTGGGGTCCCAGCACCCATGAACCCCTAAACCACATCAGGTAGAGAATACTGCATATGTTGTCAGATACGTTTGCTTTGGTTGTTGGTTTTGCTGAAATGCTTTTTCCCTTCTTTCTTTTTTAATTTTTGTTCCAAGGGATAGTTTGTTGGGTAGGGGAGGAGGAAGGGATAAATAAATGAGATGAAGCAACAACAGGCATTAAAAATACAAAATAAAACCTTTAAACTCCTTTTAAAAAGTCAGCTATTACGGGGCAGCTAGGTGGCACAGTAGATAGAGCTCCAGTCTTGGAGTCAGGAGGACCTGAGTTCAAATCCAGTCTCAGAACTTGAAACTTACCAACTGTGTGACCCTGGGCAAGTCACTTAACCCTGACTGCCTCACCAAAAAGAAAAAAAAAGTCAGCTATTATTACAAATATGGCCTGTGTAGTTTATTAAGAAGACAGGAACCACACACCTGACACAACCTAGAGCAGGGGAAGTCAGTTCCAGAGGGAAGGGGAAGCTTTTAAGAAAGAAATTCTGAAGACACCAAAGGGAACAATTCCAACATGGAGGCAAAAGGGGATCTTTGTGCACAGACCGATGTGGATGCATAGGGTACTCATGAACCAACTTATATATTTTTAAAAGACATTTGTCTTCCTCTGCTCTCAGGAAGGGCCTTTTCTTTTTTTGGCAAATCTGTTTATTCTCAAATAAGTCTCCCGAGTCTTGGCTGGAGGTCTTTTCTCCACCTGATCTTTGTTGTTTCTTGACCTGCTCAGCGGAGGGGTAAGTGAGTGTAACACTTCTTCGGTCTCATTCTTGGCTGCCCTCTGGCATGAGTGCGAGCATCTGCCTCCTCAGGGGCCTCCATCACTTGACTGGCCCATTGCTGAAGTGAGTTCGCCACTGGGCAACTGGTCTTGCATATAGCCCTACAGAGGTGGCTAGGTTTTTGACAAGATATTTTGCTGAAAGCTGTCATCTGCCTTTCCTCCAAAGGCCAAAAGTCCTGTGATACTTTTAGATTGATTATAGGCTTACCCACACAAAGGATCATAGGGATGAGCAAACAGCAAAATTCCTTAGTTCCTCATTTATCTTGTTGTTTGACTGATTAATCATGTGTAGGAGATAGAACTCCACTCTTATACATAGAAGACAGTTACCTGTCACATAGTGGAGGGATCTGAGAAGAGGGGCAGCTGTTGTTCTAAGACCTCTATGGTGATGCAGTAGACAGAGAGCTGAACCTGAAGTCAAGAAGGCCTGAGTTCAAATCTAGGCTCAGATACTTGTTAGCTATGGGATCCTGGGCAAGTCACTTAACCTTGTTTGCTTTAGTTTGGGGAGATCATAAGAGCATCTACTTGGTAGGGTTGTTGTGAGAATCAGATGAGATATCTGTAAAGCACTTAGCATGGTCCCTGGCACATAGTAGGTGCTATATAAATGTTTATTCCCTCTCCCACCTCCCAGAGTTGTTGTGAAGATAAAATGAGGTGATATTAGTAAAGTGCATTGAAAATCTTACAGAAAAATGGCGATAACAATAGCTTCCCTGTGAGGATAGAACTGACAGCACTTTGCAAATCACAAAACACCATATAAAAGCTATTATTATTTTTGTTGTGATTATTATTGTTATTATTTTTGTCTGAGCTTTATCTGTTCAGAGAATGAGATGGATTGGGTATCATTTTCAAAACAACAGCAATCCACAGATGGTAGAGCAAGTCAAGCAAAGCCCCAGACTGATGAGCAGAAATCAAGACCATTGATACTATTCTTTTTTCTCAAAATACCTCAGACCCACTGGCATTTTCTCAACAGTGGCCCCATCTTTATCCTGTCCTGCTAGCATTTCTGTGAAAGATTTCCTTTCCCCTTTACTGCCCAAGCTCCATGTACCGAAGTCAAGAGAATGTTGTTAGCTTTTCTTAGTCAACAAACATTTATGAAACATCTACTAAATGCCCAGATTTCTCCCTGTTTCAAGTCTTTGTCCCTTCCTGTAGAGTTATTCCCTTTCCAGAGGCCCAGGGTCCAGTTGTGTCCAGCCCGAGCTTTCTTCTTTTCTCTGGGTCAAGCATTGCATATCTGGTGCCTTTCCTACACACACCCAGAGAATCCCAAGATGGCAGGACCCAAAGGCCCCAAATGGCTTCAGGAAAATCCCTCTGAATTTCTCTATATCTCCCATCCGTGGGAGAACCTGCCAGTGAAAATGCCCTTAGAATGGCCTTGCTGCCCTTGTAAGGGACCAAACATTGAGGCAAAGAGAAGGAAAACTAAAGTCCTTCCTTCAATATTTCTATGGGAACATGTAAATTGTGTGACTTTGGATGTGCTTTTCTTTTGATCAGATGGAGATCATACTACCCACACCACCCTCTAGATCTCCCAGGAAGTTGGGAGAATAAAGAAGAATAAGACCTGTGAAGAAAGTGCTTTGAGATCCTCTGTGAATATCACTTCCTTCCCACAATGCAGCCACGGTGCTCTGGCTTTGCAATTCAGTCAAAATGGTTTCCTTTGTTCTTCACACATGGGACGCCATCTTCCATCTCAATGCCTTGGCACTAGCCAGCTTCCCCACCTGTCTCATAGAATTCCTTTCATCGTTCAAGACATACCTTCTACATGAAGCCTGTCCTCATCCCTTAACTAGAACCCTCTCCCTCATTACTTCACATCTATCCACTTTGTTCTTATTCTCTGTAAAGTTATTTTGTATACATACACACACGTACCTGCATCTATGTGTGCACACATATATATCCATATGTATACATACATAAATATGTGTTATATGTATATATACACACATAGATGCACGTATGTGTGTGTAGGTCTATCTATCTATATCTACCTATCTACATGGTGTCCCCACGGATAGATGTAAGCCCCCTCAGAGTTGGGCTTGTTTCATTCTCACTGGAATCACCTGTGTCTAATCCACCACCGGACACAAAGAAGGCTGCTGGGCTTAAGAAATATGTATAGATTACTATATATTTTGAATCCTTTCCTATGTTCTGCTGTGCACATGACATTTTTTGTTTTTTTCTTATTTTATATTTGTTTATAATGTTTCTTTTTCTTTTCTTATTATGTATTTAAGTTTTAGCACTTGTCTAAAATAAAAAAAATTAAGAAAAAAAAAAGAAATGTTTACACACTGACTAAATGATTGAGTAGTAAATGCTTGACTGGTGGCCCATTCTCCCTGTCCATGGCAGAGTGCCTAATCCCACTGGGTAGGGCTAGAATCCAGAGTCTTCCCCAGCCTTGGCTGGGCACTTCCCAAGGGACTGATCCCTTCTCCCTTCCTTCTTTATACTTAACCACTAACCATCCCCATTTTTGAAGTGGGAAGGCCCAGCTCCTAATTAGCTGGGAAAGCCTAGCTAATTAACAAATGGCATTTGCCTTCAAACCACAGGACAGTGGTCTTACAAATGCCTCTTTGAGTCATTAGGGTTTCTGAGACAGCCCTAAATCCTCCAAAACAATATTTCTCAATTGAATCCATTATCATAGGCACTTGCCTGAATCTTCATCTAACCCTGCCATCTGGAACAGCCAGAGGTGATGTCTCAAAAAGCTCACTAAAAGAGGTTTTTATCCTCTCTCCTCTTGTTCCTCAGGTCAGTATCACTGTTGTTCATTCATTGATTCATTCACTCACTCATTCATTCCTCTGACAGAGGCAGTGCAGTGTTGAACTTGAAGTCAATAGAGACCTGATTTGGAATCTTCACTTCCAAACTTGTTAGCTGTGTGACTCTGGAAAAGCCACTTAACTGCTGTCTGCCTCAGTGGTGATAATAATAATAGCTACTTCTAGGGTCTGTTGTGAGGAACCAATGAGATGTTATTTTATATTATAGCACAGATGCTGGCACATAGTAGGTACTTGATAAATGCTTCCTTTCTTCTCTCTCTCCCTTCTTTCCTTCCTTCCCCTTTTCCTTTCCTTTCCTTTCCTTTCCTTTCCTTTCCTTTCCTTTCCTT